AGCTTTGCGGATACTGGCAAGTAAACCGCTGACTGTGATCACACAACGGATGGCTGCATCTCCCCTATGAAATTAGGGGCATGCTCCCCCGTTTGATTTCTTCTCGGTAATGGCATGTTTGGAAGCCGCTCCCTGGCCTTTTGCTTCCTCATTGTCATTGCTGGCCCCCCTTCCAGGGGGGTCCTGATTTCTTTGATCATTGGATTTGTGTTCGCAGTTGACAGTCAAGAGGATGATTATTACGTTCATGAAGGCCCACTACGAGCTGACCTGAGAGGACTCTGAGAGAGATTTCGTGGTAGTCTGCTTTCGTGTACAGCCAGGCTCATGCTTGGGTTAACCTCCGAGCTGAGTCTTTATGTCTGCCTGTGCAGCTGCGACACATAATTCGGTTGTTTGCATGTTTTTGATAGGGATGCAGTGGACTTTCCACTGCTTCCTGGTGCAAATCGATTCTGTGGTTGTTTTCGGTTGGGCTCTGGCCCCGTTTTGTGTTTGGTGTTTTCCTGTCTTTGTTTCGCTTTCTCCGCTGGCGAAACGCAAGTCTGGCTGGGGGATTTGCGGGTCGTCGCTTTGGTGTGGTTGTTGGTTTTTTGTTTTGCTACAATCGATTTGCTGATTTCAAGGACCGTGCGTCCTTGTACAGATGGTTTTGCTGCTTACTCACACGTAAGGACCGAGCCATTAGCGCGACATCGGCCAAACTCGAGGAAAAAAAATAGATTCGAGTCCCCGTGAGCCTTGCTTTGTCCTCGTGCCATTACGTTTTGCGTCCGAGGCCTGGCCTCGGGCAGGCCTCGGTGAGCCTCGGAGTGCCTCGAATGCCAACAAACCTGCTTCATCATGGCCCCAAAAACAGGGCCGAAAAAAGTGCTCAAAACATGGCTGCGATAGAGAGACCTCGACAGTAGCAAGCGGCCTTGGGACGCACAAAGAGAAAAGGTGTGTGTTGACATTCATGTTCAAGCTGCTGGGTCGCAAATCTGCTTGCAAAACATTTGCGGGCAGCAACGAAATTCTCCGATGGCTGACCCCATTTTTGGGTCCAAATATGGACCCCAAAATAGGGTCCAGAATTGGATCACATTTTCATTCCTTCTTTTAGGTCTTTGCTTGGGCCCCTTTTTGGGGTCCAGATTTGGACCCAAAAGTGGGGCCAGCCATCGGAAAATTTTGCTGCTGTCCGCAGATGTTTTGCAAGCAGATTTGCGACGCACTAGCATGAGCGTAAGTGTTAACACATGCTTTTTCTCTCTGTGCGTCCCAATTTGTTTCTTGTACAGTATGGCGTTGGACGGAAAAAAAAGCATGGGTTTCCCCGTCATTCAATTCCTCAAGCCCAGCCAGGTATGGAATGTGATCTATGCTGATCACAGAAGCAAATTCATTCATAGCAATAAACATGCCCTGACACTGGTTGCACTAATCACTTTGCAGGTTTACTTTTCTCCCCTATGAAATTAGGGACTGGAAGTTTTTCACTGGCTAGCGAAGCTTCCTGTGCGCCACCTACTGGGGGGGTACCTGGCACAGTGACCACCACGACATTCTTGCTCACGGAGAATATATGGTAACGATTCTGTCCATGGAGGCCTTCTGGACAAGCTGATCTGAGAGGACGCTGAGAGAGGCATAAGTTGCAGCCCCGTGCTCATGTACAGCTTCGGCACATCTATGCCAGAGTAGACAGGCAAACTTTTTAGGCCTTCATGTTTGCTTGAATGTCGTGGTTCTTAATTCATTTTCGCATGTTTTTGAGAGTGATGCAGTGGTCAAACCACTGTGTCCTTTGGCAAATCTTTTTGGTGGGTGTTTTTGTTTGGGCTCCCGCCCCTTATGTGTGTCTGGTTTGTTGTTTCTCTTGACGAAACGCAAGTCTGGCTGCAGGATTTGCGGGTCGTCTGGCTGGTTTGTGGGTTGTTTGGTTTGTTATGATTTGCACTTATTTCTGGACCTTTTTTGGTCCTTGTACAAAATTGCGCTTTACTGCTTATGCTCATGTAAGGACCGAGCCACAGTGCGACATCGGCCATACTCGAGGGAAAAAAATAACACTGGTTGCACTAATCGGCACCAACTCCTTGGCACAGTGCGTGATGATTTACCAGGCGACTCGATGGCTCAGTTGGTATAGCGTTGGTCTTGCCAGCGCTGACAGATTGCCGGTGGTGATTCGAATCCCTGCTGGTCCACTCGGGAGTCTCAAGTGCGACCCGCCGAAAGGCAACGGGCGCCGACCACAAAAAAAAGTGCGTGATGATTTACCAACAATTACAATTTCCTGCATGTAAGTGCCGTATCTGCTTCAAAAAAAAAATGACAAGGAAGGCAGAAGTTTCATGGGCGCGTCGTTGTTTTTGCCACATGGCACTGCTGCAACGGCGCAGCGCTTTGATGTTGTGACATAGCAACATGTGGCCCAATGTGTCCAAGAAGGGAAACCAAAAAACTTTAGTGGACGAAACACATGGAGCTTGAATCAGTTTTACTCCTGCTTTTTCATCTGCAGCAGGCAGGCTCCTAGGTTGCAGTAGGAGATGACTTAAAGACAATCAGCATGGCCAGCTGCATGTATGAAAGGGGACACCGACAAATCAACTGTTTCGCAAACAATGGCTGGAAATAAAACAGCGTAACAAGTTCTGCGTGGTTTGCCCGATTCAGACAAGATCCACAGCGTTGCATCACGAAACGTATCAAAACGCACTTATACATACATACATACATACGTACGTACGTACGTACGTACGTACATACATGCATACATACATACATACATACATACACACATACACACATACATACATACATACATGGAATAACACATACATACATACATACATACATACATACATACATACATACATACATACATACATACATACATACATACATACATACATACCTGCATGCATACATACATGCGTGCATACATACATGTATACATAGATAAATAGATAGATAGATAGATAGACAGACAGACAGACAGATAGATAGATAGATGAATATATATATATATAAGTATAGATATACGTATATATAGATTTAAAAATAAATATAAATATAGATATACAGTGCGCAAACACATTGATTTTGAACTGGACCACTGATATTTTCAACAAATATTAACCGCCGTGACATGTATACCACATGATTCAACCAAAAATTGGGACTTGAAGCGACAGCGAGGCTGCAACAACAGAGTGGGTCATCAAGAAGGTGGCACAACCAACAAAACCTAGGCTTTTGCAGAATCAAGAACCCTCCTCCAGGATTTTTGTTTTGGGGTTTTTGTTTTTTATTGACATTTTTTTTGGTCTTGGAAGTGAACAGACCAAGGTGTGGGCAACAATCGAAACCAAGAACTCACAACAAAAATTGTTTGAGCACAACGTGAGTTCCATACCACAATACCAGCAAAACATGGTTTGGGTAGATCATGCGGGGTGGACCCATTGTTTGAAGCGGAACTTCTTTGTTTGCGTGGTTTGGACGGCAAAATCCCATTTGGTTGATTTTTGTTGGCCAAAAAAAATCAGCCCTTGTGTTTTTCCCCAACAGCAAAACTTTGCTATGGGGTCTTTAGCCCAGATTAGCTCCGGTGCGCTTCAACACCCGGTTCCGGACAAGGTTCCGGAGGGTTCTGGTGCAGATACTTCCTGATGTTCCGGAAGGTTCCGGTGCAAATACCTCGTGAGGTGCTCCGGATGGTTCTGTGCGGTTCCGGAAGTTTCCTGTGCAAGTACTTGGTGAGGTTCCGGAGGGTTACGGTGCAGATACTTGATTAGGTTCTAGAGGGTTTTCGTGCAGGTACCTGGTGAGGTTCCAGAAGTTTCCGGTGCAACTACCTGATGAGGTTCCGGAGGGTCTAGGTGAAGATGCGCGGTGAGGATCCGGAGGGTTCCGGAGCAGATACCTCGTGAGGTTCCGGAAGGTTCCGGTGCAGAGACTTTGTGAGGTTCCGGGAGGTTTTGGCGGAGAAAATGCTTGGTGAGGTTCCGGAGGGTTCTGGTGCAGATACTTTGTGAGGTTCCGGAGGGTTCCGGTGCAGATGCTTTGTGAAACTCCAAGAGGTTTCGATGTTTTTTATGGCATAAACAGTTTTAATGGCAAAAACGCAGAAACTTTCAAACTGTTAGGGATAGCACCTGAGTTTATTTATTGGTCATTCCTGGACAAAATTTCTTTAATGTCAGTTTGAGGTGATACATTGGCAGACCAAAATTTGCGATGTCGAATTTCGAACGAATGTTTTGACATCTATCACACAATTCGCAAACGAACAGGCAAGTTGGGAATCAAATTCCAATATTGTTGTGTTGAGACTACTTGGCTCAACGTGTTTCTTGCTGTTCCTAGACTTTCTCACGCCATGAACCGCATTGCGCGCATTGCTGGCCATGTGAACTCGGGTGTGACTGGACAAGAACCATGTTTGGGCATCTTGGCTCCATAATTTCGGAACTAAAACGGGGTTGTTTGATCCATTTAACAATGGATATGACAATTTCAGCAATCATGTATATTGATAAGTAAATATGTTTTTCACTGTCGATCCTGGTGCAAACACATTTGAATCAATCCGTTTCATTTTCGGCACAGCGTTTTTGAAACACATGACATTCGGCGAATGGGCTGACAATTTTGAAACCCGCTGACGTCTGGCAACCTCACAAAATATCACCGTGTGGTAGGCGGTCAAGTATTGTTTCAGATGATTGTGGGTTTTGCTGTTTTTTCTTGATTTCATTACTAGTAATAAAAGTAAATTGTAGTGGAATTGCTTTCCAAAAACGTACAGTTCCAATGTGCAAGCAAATATATCTGTTTTATTTTCCCACTTCAAATTCTTGCTTTCCAGTAATTTGACATAACCATATAAAATAGTTTTGCAGATGATTTACCTGGGAATTATATATATATATATATAACTGGTGATTTCCATAGCAAATTGTCAAATGACCTGAACATGTTGTGTTTTGATCCAGTCTCGGTGTCAGGGGCCCAGCCCACTGCTGGCTATTGCGCAGCAGAGAAGGGTGAGGCCCAAGAAACGCTGAAACGAAATGTTTGGGTCACGTGATGGTACTTGGGGAATTTTGAAAATCCACTTGAGGAATTTTGAACAACCGATCTATATATATATATACATGCATACATACATACATACATACATACATACATACATGACATATAACTGGGGTTTCATGGAAAACCATTGAACAAAATGGTGGATTTTATGTTGATTTGACCAACCCTAATGGGGGAAAATTGATTGGGATTCAATAGGGAATAGATCAATGGGATTAATTACCAATCACACTTTATCATAATAAACCACGGCCAATAGAGGTTTATGAACTTGGGTGTAGCTCTTGAAATGGGAGTATGGTTATTATGACCCCCGAATGGTTGGTGAATGGATAATTTCTGGCATTGGAATTAGCACATTATTGGTATTCGTGGATGCAGTCCCTATGGGTTTTTAATGTATGGATGTATGAAATATGTTTATGGATGCAATCCCATGGATGGGATTACGAACCGTTTTACGGATATTATTGATATGGGATGCATGGCACATGTTCCCTCCAATCATGTGATACTTGGGTGTGTCTGAAAATGAGGTATACCCACCGAAATAGTGTCTGAAGGTAAAATTACAGTTTGCCACTAAAGGTATGAGGTACCATATTTTCAAACAAACCCATCTTTATTTTGTTTGTAACCACATTTTTTGGTTTAACAAATGCTATATTTTCACCGTTTTAGTTGTATGTTCAAAAACTGGTCATCATTGCTGGCCATCGAATGACCAAAGTGGTCCCAAAATCTGTTGCAGGATATCCATCTGCGGAAACACTGCAGTATCATTTCCTGTCATTTTTGCATTTCAATCTTTGCACTTTTTTGATTTACCAGATTGGAGGTGCAGAATTTACCCATGTACCAATTCACCCTTGGAAGAATTGCAATTTGCCTTGGTTGTTAATACCGTCTAGCAATCAAACGTTGCTTCAAAATCCCCCAGCACTAGTTCCATGTTTGGTGACACCGCAGGATATACATTATCATTAACCCAGTTAGATTAATGTGAGTGATCTGTTATACCCTCTGGTAAACATACCAAAAACTATTGAAAATGACCCAGTCGAAATAGTTGATTTACCCATTAAAAATGGTGGACCTTTCCATCGTTTTTTGTAAACGTTTACCAGATGGTAAAATCCCATTAGATCCCATTAAACCGCCATAAAAATCCCATGTAAATCCCATGTAAATCAACTATCAATGGGCCATTTTCCATGGTTTTTTGTAAACGTTGACCAGGCCGGGTATCTCCAGGGGCCCAGGGCTATCGCCCACTGGGATGATCGATCTCCATTACCAGGACGACGTGGTGATCTGCTGCGCCGTGCGGACGGCCCTGTGTAAGGCGAAGCGAGGATCCTTCAAGGCGTCGGAAAAAGATGGGGGATTTGGCCATGGGATTTTGGGATGATTTCGATTTGGCATGGGATGAGAACGACATTTTTTTGGGGATTTGGCATGGGATTTCACCAGATTTGGCATGGGATTACCACGACGATGTTTTTTTGGATGGGATTTGGAGATGGGATTTTGGATAGGATTTACATGGATTTACTGATCATTCTGAATTGGTGAATAAAATTCAATGATTTACCTGATAGTTCGTCATTGTGACGTATTGAAGAATATTTTAAGAAACAGTTGGATATTGGGAATACCTCCCAAAAACAATATTTAGATAAGAAGATGTAAGGAACTCTGTGTGACCCACCAGAATAATCTAATGTGAGTTTTGTTGCAAAGAAACACCAAAAAGAGGAAAAATCACTTGCAATCAGTGAGGGACCGATGATTGTTGTGTCACTGACATGTGTAGTTGCTGTTCCGATGCAACTTTTCATCACCGTGATAAAATACCAAAGCAAGTGGGTGTTTAACCACCAATGAGAAGTGCCAAATACGGAGTGACTAGTCGAGACACATGGATGTGAACCAAATGGGCTAAGAATTACAAACAAAGAGGGGTTTCATGGGGTTTCAATCCAGTTATAAAATTGCAATTCATTTATATATATATAACTAAGAAAACAGTAGTTGCAAAATTTCAAATTGCCGAATTCATCTCATGGTTCATGAAAATCCTTGCGAAAAAAAACAGGGTTGCTGCACCCCATGATAGGTGAATTACATTTCATGATAGCCACAACAGGGGGAAAATAAGTCCTACACATTTTACCCCTCAAACATATCTGAAGGGCTGCCTACATGTATACCCGAATTTTTATTGGGTATATTGGGTTTGGAAGATCATTTTTTCCGTGTTGCAGGACACAGCCCCCGAACTTTTGCTCGCAGCAGTCTTCAAGGAGGACTGGGCACTGATGGGTCGGGATGAGAAATTCCTATCGAATCCCCGTGGTTTACACATGAAAATCACTGGGATCAATGGATGAATTTATATTTTTATAGGTATTGATCCATAGCCATATAATTTTTCGGTTATGAACCTGCCTGGCTTATTGGGGACTACGAACTAAGTGACTAAGCCATTTTTTTTTTGCGACATCACCATGACTCATTTCCCGGCAATATCATGGGATGGGACAGCAGCCGACCTTGGTGGGTTGGGCCACCATTTTTGGACCCCCAACTTGGGGTTGGTAGGTCGATCTCAAGAAGAGGAATATACATGACATTTATGTGATATTGATGTGGATTCAATGAGGGCTTCACTTTTAAACCTTTTTTGGAGTCTTACTGGGTTCCAGTTATTGAGACAACATGAGACAACCTGTTCCTGGAATTGCTGAGTGGCATTGTTGTTGTCAGGTGGTGGCTCGGACCAAAGTGAATCCGAAGGACATTGGAGACATTCAGATTGGCTGCTCGTTCTCTCAAGTTGTGGAATTGGGGTGACAACGTTTTTTTTAAAATCTACATTTTACTCCCGACACTAGCCATGTGTCCTTTTCCAAGAGCTACAAGCATACTGTCAACCTTCATTACTGCACAAGTCGTTTGCGGGAATATTTTGTTTGCTTTGCACCAGGCCCACACCCACTGGAGTTTTCTGCGCGCAGGGAGTATGGGCGGTGGACATGATTCAACTCAAATGATATTGTTCTTGTATAGTGACGTGGCAAACACATAACGACTGCCTAAAATATTGGGATAGGGATAGGTTTTGTTTCCTCTATCCCCAAAATGGGACAATTTGTAAGGGGTTGTGGTTCATTATTGGGTTTACAAAATTATGTCGGGCATACTTGATTTCAAATCTGAGGCAATGTGTTGCAGCCCGGCGCCAGTGGGCTCACTTCCCGTGGCTTGTTTCGCACACAAGATTTGGATGGCCTTATTTAAGGCCTGGATTCGAGAAAAGGTGAGTTTCTAACTGGGATTTACCCTCTGGTATATTAACATAGACCCTGGCAGATAGAGGTTGGAAGACTAGTTTCCACTATAAATGGGTCATTTTCAGGGTCTATGTTAATTTACCAGAGGGTAACGGGATTTCGTGGGGATTATTTTCCGCTGCATGGTATATATCCTCTGGTCATGTCACATTGAGGTGGAAGCCAGGGCCATGGAAATAGATGATTTACGTATTAAAAGTGGTGATTTTCCATGGCTATGTTAAATTACCAAAGGGTAACCATGACTTAACTAGGGTCTAACCATGAAGTCAAAGGGGGATTCACTGGTTCACCAAAAAAAGAGGGATTCACCTACGAAAACGGAGGTTAAATCCAATAAAGAGATGAATGAACCAAGAGCAATGGCATGGTAGTCCTCCAGAAATTCAACCTGGCAGCAAGTCTCCCCTTTTTGTCCCAAATGCTGGTGGATCATCAAAGACCGGGGTAAGACATGTTTAGTTTATTGGCCTATTTGAGAAGTGGATCATTCCAAGCGCTCAGCTTTAAAATCAAATAATCAACCTGGGGGCAATACAAAGCCAACAAGGGTTCACGGGTCATCAGCAGACTTGAGAAGATGATTCATACTTGCAGTTGTAGGTTCTGCGATGTACAACAGTGGAAGCAACCATGGTTGGTGACCACTTACTACCACATGACCATATGTTTTAATCTTCTGTTAGCCTTTGTTTCATTTTTCCCTCCAATGTACATAGGTTGTCTGAAAACAGGTTACCACAAAAATTGCTGCGTAGTCAGCATTGACCCCATGAAAAAGCTGCCTTTAAAATTCAGGGTGAATCACTTATTTTACAGACAGACCCAATCATATATGTTGGATATATTAGTGACTATATATATATATGTATATGTATATGTATGTATATATATATACATATATATATATATATGTATGTGTATGTATCTGTAGATGTATATGCATATTATATATTATATGTATACACACATACACCTCATTATAGTCCCCACTAGAATCACCTTATCCCACTGGCTCGTCCCCGATGGGGATCCATAGGATTTTCAACGAGGCATGGGACAGTTCATTGCCGAGCTGCCCTACGAGATTCCCTTGAGCACCGTCACCCTTCGCGATGTCTGCAGAAAAAATGATGGCTAAATGGGATATAAAACCTGGGTGGTGGTTTCAAACATGGGTTTAGTATGGGGTTTCATGATGGTTAATGATGGTTAATTAATCACGGTTAATAATGGTTAATAGGATATATACAGTGTATATAAATAATATACTGATCTCTGCAAGAATAAATGGGGTGTAGGCATATTTTCATATTAAAAAAAGGCACTACAAGCTCAAGCGATCAATTTTGGGTGGTTTTTGTGGCCTGGTTTGCTAAGGCATCCAAGATGGGTTAAAATCTTGTAGATCCCATCGTTGATCGTCCAAGTTATGAGGTACTCCAAGTGGCGGCTTGTGCGGAAAATCTCATGGCACACCATCCCTAAGTGAAATTAAGTAGGTGTGCAGAATTGGAGGGTTCACCATTAGGATTTTTTTTGGGGCAATCTAATGATGTACCCTCTGGTAATTTAACATGGCTATGGAAAATCACCATTTTTGATGGGAAAATCCACTATAGATGGCCATTTTCAATAGCTATGTTAGTTTACCAGAGGGTACTTGGTAATTGGAGTTTATGAAACTAGGAATCTACCGGTATATGATGTAAAAAGATGACTCCGAGTCAGGGTTGATTACTTGATAGTTTATGGCATTGTGACCACATCACTGGGCATGACCCATTCCTTCGGGGAAACTGGGATGAAACACGTCGCACACGTGGGGACATTGGCGTTTCAGAAACACCACCTACCTACACTTTGTTCCGGTTGGTGTTCAAACCTTCTAGGCTGGCCTTCTAGGCTGGTTCTACCCCCGGTTGCTGCCAGCTTTGACCATTCACCTTTCGACCCTGTTTGAATCCCAGCTTGGTGAAATCGGTAGTTTTATGCTTGGCTCAACTAGTAATCAGACTCTGCTTGGATACAATCTCCCAAGTTTTTGTTAGTTGATCTCTCCATTTCTTGGTACCTAATACCTCTATTTTGATGGTTCCTATCCCCCATCGGTTTGTCTGGAAATGTGGTTCCCACATTTTGATGAGGAAATGATGATCAACCATGGGATGGAATGGAGTCTTCCCCTGAAAGTCAAACCCAATTGTTGTTGGTTGAAACTCACGTGTATCCCCCTGTCGTTCTAGGGTTGCAAGTCAAGTTGATCCCCCCAACAAGTTGAACCGTTTGAAGCCGCCCGAGTCAGCTGCCAACACACTTCGCAGGTGAACCGTCAATGCAGCAGCAGCTTGCAAGCCACAGCCAGCATTGCTGCCTTCATTAAGGCCACCTATTGGGACCTGTTTGGAGAACCCAAAAAAAGGCTCCAAGGTAACTGGGACGGCTGTGACAAAGATGACAAGAACCGATCAATTAGGTATGGCTTGTTGAAGGAAAATTAGGATAAACCGATAAAGCTGTAGATTTAGGATGATTTAGGGCAACCATATTTTCAGACACACCCAAATCTGTTCTGGGAGGCAGTTTCAAAGTGGGGAACTGCCACTTGCAGCGATCTACTTAGGAACAGGACCCAACATTGGCATGTAATTCAGAATTTCTTAATGGAAATATGGGTGGTCTAAGTTTTAAATGAGCTATATACTACTGAAAATCTGCTGCTTTCCCGGCCTAAAAAACATGATCCAAACCCATCAGGGTTGCTCCCAACACCCCAGAATCGTTTGGGGATTTTGGGGAAACATTGCGTAGATCAAGAGGCAAACAGACCAAAAAGATACCACCGAAAAGTGGCTCAGATTTACATCTAACAGGTCGGAGAACTCTTGGTTGATCTTGGTTGTGCCCATTCTATGGGTCTGTGGGTCTGTCTGAAAATGGGCCCCCCATTTATGGCAATTTATTTTGGGGGATGATGATCCTTGGTGGCATTGGTGGTAGCCCATTTTCAGACAAACCCATATCCTACTTTTGGTTACTGTACATCATATGGATGTGGGTCAAAATGGAAGATCGATGTGGGACCACAGATGTGAAAGTCTAGTTTAGTATTAACCATCCATAATTTTGAGGTACCTAATTTTGACCCATACCCATATCCAATTATTATTGAGATGATTATCATCTTGGCTGACCCTGCCAGGCTGGTGTCATTGATGTGGGCCTTGCTGGTGGCGTAGAGAACATGAGCATGTGCCCTGCAGTGCATGGGGTGACCGGGCTTTTTGTTAGAGGAGTATGGTAAAAAGACAACAAACTTTTTGGGTCATAAATTGGCAATGTTCAATCGTCATACTCAGATCTCAATGTTTGAATATTGAAACCTTCCAATTTTCGCTGCCTCTCAACGCGACGTGCCATGCCACTTGTGCCATTTTTGGGGAGGTTCCCCATGATGGCCACCATCGACATTACGAAGCTCTCAAAGGATGTCTTGGATTATCCAAATGCCGAGGCGACAACCGGGGCTCAAGTTGCGTAGTGAGACCAAAAATTCATCATCATCCCATTCCCCCAGAGCTCGGGTGATCAAGGCATTTTCGGATTCTCAGAGGCCTGCTGTATCTGTTTTTATCAGTGTGATAACTGAAGTGTCTCCAACTGGAGGCTTGCCTGTCACATCAGTTTTTGCTGGAAAAGTGTCTTCCTGAGCTTGGGAGTCTTCATGTGTTGTGCTGGGTCATGGTCTCATGGTAGACTCAATGTCCCCCGAATACAAAACATCCCCAAACGAAACCATGGTGGATGTAGGGAATTTCCATATGATTAAGATCATAGAAGGGGGGTGTTTACCATCTGGTTATTTAACATAGCCATGGAAAATCCCTTACAAATGGAGGTTTCGTTCGCTGGGAAAATCATCTATTTCTATGGGCCATCGAAATCCCATGGCTATGTTAGTCATAACCAGAGGGTATCAACTTAGCTTATTCAGAGGGTAAACCTCCATTTTCCTATGGGTTTTCCTATGGTTATACCACTATAATCCTATAAAATTGGATGGAATTAGTTTACCAGCTCCAGAGGCGTGCTTCCTGCCTATGGGCCTCACCAGTGAGAATGTGGCGGCGGCCTATGGCATCCCCAGGGATCGTCAGGACATCATGGCTGCGGATTCCCACAAGAAGGTGGGCTCCGGCCATGGATTTTCCATAAGATGGTCGAATTTTTGATGATTTGGGGGTGCATCCATTTCAAGAACCCCCAAATTGGGTTTAAAGCACACAAATCTCTCTCTCTCTATATACATACATATATATATATATGTATATGTATATATGTACGTATATATGTATATATATATGTATATACGTATATATATATATACACACAAAACATCTCCAGCATTTTTGGTCGCAGGCTTTGGAGGCGCAAAAGCAAGGATGGTTCAAAGAAGAGATCGTCCCTGTAACCGTGGAGAGCAAGGGCAAGGCGCACCGCCTGAAAAATGGGGAAATTTTTCACAGATATTCCACAGAGTTTTGCCGGACCTGAGACCTGTCATTTTTCCTGGGGGGTCAGTTTGGGGGCCACTTTTATAGCTGCAGTTCGTGCACAAAGCAAAGGAGAGCCAGGGCCAAGAATCAATCCTATTTCCTTTGGAGAAAATCATTAATCAACTTTTTTTGGCTTCGACTTCACTTTCGGGTAAAGCTGCCCCCCAAAAGATTCAGAACGTTCCTTTTTTTCCACCTGTCCCTTGAAATATTTGAGGGCATCTTTTTTGGTGTAAAGTGGGTAAACCCTGATTTTCTGGGCCAGGACGGCAGCGTCAAGAAGACGGTGGTGGACAAGGACGAAGGCCCCCGCGCCGGGGTCACTGCCGAAAGTCTCGGCAAGCTGAAGCCGGTGCCTGGGAGGAAATGGGTAGATCTGCATAGCAAACTGTTAGCCTCTGGTTATTTAACGGTTCGTGAACCAGAAGAACACCATTTTTAAGAGGTAAATCTTCCTGAATCATCTATTTTTTAATGAGCCATGGCTTCCATAGCTATGTTGAACAGAGGGTAAATTACCGGGTGATTTACTATCCACTATGGATTATTCCAACCACCGGAAGGGCTTGAAGCACATTGAACAACCACATCCGAGGCCTTCAAGGCGGGTGGCAGCACCACGGCGGGCAACAGCAGCCAGGTGACCGATGGAGCTGCTATGGTGCTCTTGGCCAGGTGGGGATTTTCAGGTCATGGCCCGGTGGAGTCAATTTTTGGTGGGAAAATCTCCCCTATGTTTTGCTGCGGCATCGGCAACTTCGCTGGTCAACTGGTATGCCATGCCCAAAAAGGTGGAGAATACCGAGTGCCATTTTTGGGTTGCCATTTTTCGGAGAAAGAAATCGACCCGCGCCAAGCGCTGGCGCACAGGCGTTCGGTGGCCAAGAAGTTGGGTTTGCCCATCCTGGCGCGTTTCCGTAGCTTCGCCTGTGTCGCTTGGCGAAGGAACGTTGGGAGATTTGAAGATGGGAAGATGTGTAGTAGTGTAGTGTTAAAAGCCCCGAAAAGGTTCAGACGTTCGGTTAATTCTGACCACAGATTTCAGGATTGGATTGTTACCAGATTCAACTGGAGGGCCCAGTTTTGCTGGTCTATTGTTATGATGGTGTTGGAGGATTAAAACAGCTAGATAGAACAAAGAAATAGGTTTTCTCGCAATGAGTATGCGAATCCATTTCAAAGGCAAATCCAGATGCCACCTAGTTTTGTGGATATGGCAACCATGCCATTCTCTCATGGCCCTGGGGTGTTTGTGATTTTCGCCGTGCTTTCAACGAATAGAGTGTTCGTCACTGCGGTGTGTCTAGTTTTTCTCCAGCGCTTCACGTGACCAATGAGCACAGGCAAAAATTTGCAAGACCCAGGTAAGTAAACGCTGCTCGACATGTCGCTTCCGCACATTCTTGGGGCACCAAATCTTCAGCCATTCCCATCTCTGGTTTTTTGTCCAGGTTGGAGATCCCATTGTAGATCCACTTTTGGACAACATTTTTTAAGCCCATGATTAGGGAAACCCCCGGTGCTCATAGCTCATAAACCCACCTGTGTTTCTGATCCCTTGACCTTTTCAGGTGGGTGTGGATCCTAAACTGATGGGCATTGGCCCTGCTTTCGCCATTCCTCCAGCACTGCAGCAGGCCGTGTGGCAAGGGTGGAAATGGGTCTCTCTGAAAATGGGGTATAGCATTGTCTAATAGGGACAAGACTGATAAACCGATATAACCGATGAAGCATCAACTTTTTAGGCACTCTATTTTCAGACAAACCCAAGTCTTGAAGTTATGAACTCAACCCATTCCTTTTGAAGTATTAAACCACAACAATCCTTGCTGATTTGTCTGACACATGCCAATTTGTTCTTACAATAAAGGCTCCAAGTCCAAGTCCTTTTGGTTCAGGCTACATCTAAGTTTTTTTTAAAGGAATCTCCTCACACAGGGATTCTCATTTTATTTAGCGGTAAACCCACCATGAACCAGTGGGACCAGTGACGTGGAATCTGTCTGCAGGCGGGGCTGAAGGTGGAGGACATCGACATCTATGAGATCAACGAGGCCTTTGCCTCGCAGGCCACCATGTCGGTGGATCACTTGAAGATCCCCATGGAGAAGGTGGGATGAGGAATGGAAACGATGCCGATGCCACTGGAGTTTTCCGATGAATGAATTTCAGGAGGGTAAAAAGAATGATGACATGAAGATCATGAAGGAAAACAGCCGGAAATTCATGTGCAAATGATGTTTTTTTGCAACTAGCCATGCTTGATTACCGGCCAGAACGTGGTTCCACTCTGTTTATTGAAGACTTTGTTGAAGTATTTAAGGTTGATTGCCTGAACATAATGCCCACCCCCCATGGTTCATGATACTTTTGCCAGAACAACATGCTATAAATTGGGAGGCACTCCATTTTCAGACAAACCCATGTATCACATTGTTGCTCATATTCATCTCCCACGATCCAAAAAAGTGATTTTCAAGATCTTATATCAATATTTTCTGAGATATCCCATGAAATATCCCATTAGATCCTTTTTTTTTTGCCATGAATTTTCCCGTTTTGTGTCCCGTTTTGATTCCATGATTTTTCCCACGACATATCCCCGGCTTCTGAGGTGAACCCCAAGGGCGGCGCCATCGCCCTGGGACATCCCTTGGGAGCCACGGGCGCGCGACAGATCGCCACCTTGTTGCCCGAGTTGAAGCGACAGGGCAAGAAGCAACTTGGACGACTTGGCTCGGTGTTGGGAAGGAATCGGGGGGATCCAACGGATGGACATTATTTGCCATTTTTTTCGGACTAGTGATAGATCTTGACTATTTATACTCGACCTACTCGACTAATCTATACTAATCCATAGAAAAAGCTTCATTTTTAGCATTGGAAATATTCTGTAAATATGCTGTACAGCTATGTACAGCTATGGTGCTGTTGAGAATCACAATCCAGAACTCTGTGATTACTCAATGAGACTCACAAAGCCAAAAAGATGTCAAGGCCGAGATTTGGCTGGTACATTTAACATTCGGGGTCCTTGTTGTAACGTAGCACATTCGGCTCGATATCGGGTCATTCGCCTCATGATTTGCGTAGTTTTTATGGATGGGGTGAAATCATATCACGGTGATATCATTGATGTTTACGAGAAAGCTTGACTTGCCAACAAAAAATCACCTGGCAAAGCCTGCTGATTTCGGGATCTTGAAACAAGTCTTGTTTCTTTCCATGTCGGATATCATGATCGGATAGTGAGATCACAGTAGTTCAACCGCGTTTACGGTTGGACACTTCTGAAATTTTGCAGTTTTTGGATGCTCTGATGGCATCGATGTGAACTCCAGAAGTCTTGAGACTGCAGCTGGGTATTTTGAAAAACCCCTGAGACGGTCAAACCCACAAGAGACCGCCACAAGGTGTAGCTAAGGACAAGAGAGATCCTCAGAGGATAATTTTTTTGGAGGCCTATTTTTTTTTGGAATTTTTTTCTTTTACGTTTTTGGATTTTTTTTTGGGTTTCTTGTTTTATCTTGCTTTCTCCTTTTTTTTGCTTTTTTGCTTTTGTGCTTGTTTGTTTTTTTTTTGTTTTTTTTGCTTGTTTGCTTTTTTTGCTTTTTTGCTTTTTTGCGTTTTTGCTTTTTTTGCTTTTTTGCTTTTTTGCTTGTTTGCTTTTTTGCTTGTTTGCTTTTGTGCTTTTTTGCTTTTTGCTTTTTTTGATTTTTTGCGTTTTTGCTTTTTTGCTTTTTTGCTTGTTTGCTTTTTGTTTTTTTGCTTTTTGTTATTTTTGCCTTTTTTGCTTTTTTGCTTTTTGCTTGTTTGCTTTTGGCTTTTGGCTTGCTTTCCATGGCTTTTGGTGGTATTTTTAGTATGTCAAACTTGCACATTTTTCAATACACTAGTTTGAATCGACTATATTCATATGTATATATATATTTATGTTTAAATTAAAATATATATATATATTTACATATATATATATGTATATGTATATATAAATATATATATATATGTATATGTATATATATATGATATATGCATTTAAATACAGACTTGTATATTTATATCTAGATATATTTATATTATTTATATTTTCTACTTATATATTTTTTTTATATATACATATTATTACTATTTATGTTTAAATTCAAATATATATATATATTTACATATATATATACATATATATAATTACATATATATATATAATTACATATATATATATTTACAAATTATTTACATATATATTTACATATATATATAATTACATATATATATATATACATATATATATATATGTAAATATATTTATATATTTATATTTATGCATGTATATATACACTTAAATATATATTATATTGATATATTTATATTTACATATTCATATTGATATATTATATATTTATATTTATATTTATTTGTTTATTTTTATATATTTATATTTACATATAAATATATATTTATGTACCTATATATATACATTCATATGTATATATATAAATCATATAAATGTATATATATAAAGAAGTATGTATCTATAAGTATATGTACTGTATTCCACATGTTTCCAGGGTGCATGTCGTGTAGTCTATACACCTTGAGTATCACATTCAACCCAGCACCTTGCATGTAAAATAGGTGTTTCCAATCTGCTTTGGGGGGGAGGCGCTGCGCCCTTGTTTTTGTTTCGACCTAATACCTACATAGGTACATGCATGAGTATTGAGCACATTTATATGCGCCCTTCAAGGCTCAAGAGGTATATAGAGTAACCCTGTAGACAAGCACAGACCGGCAACAGGCTGAGTAAAACAAGTGCTGTCATTGGGGAAGACGCCTTAGCTGATCTTGAAGTAGACGCTAGGGCCCCTCTTCAAGTGGTAGCGGAGCTGTGATCCCTCATTGAGGGTGAGCTCCAGGTAGAGCCCAAGCAATGGCAAGCCATGGCTATGATGATGATGACTTCGACATTGTCGATGCAAATGAATGGAACCAATATGACTCTTATGCAATGAGAAGAGCACCCCAGCATACACAGATTCATATGACGCAACAGATGACCACAAAGGTTGCTCCAGCCTATGATGGGCGAACCAGCTTCTTTGCTTTTGAGGATGCAATTGATGACTGGTGTGACATTACGGAGTTAGAACCAGAGAAACGTGGTCCAGCATTGCGCAACAGACTGGAAGGAGATGCTCAACAATACAAGAGGCTATTGGATAGAGAATTACTCAGGGATCCCTATGAAGGAGGGGCTTATTTCAAAAGATTTCTACGACCTCATTTCATCAAAGGTGCCCAGAACGTGTTCTTATACCGTTTCATGCAGTTCATGAAGTTCAACAGAGGAACCATGGATCTTCAGAAGTGGATGACTAGATTTCAACTCACTGGCAATAGACTTATTGAGTCTTGGATGGATTTACTTCCAGAAGTAACAGTGACTAGTCCTGAAGCAATTCTGTTTGTTCAACAACGACGTCAAGAACATGAACGAGATCAACAAGAGAGAGCTGAAGTAGCAGCAGCCTCAGGAACACCCCATGTAGCTGTTCCTTGGACAGATGAACTGGCACTAGCGGCATTCAGACAATTTCAGGAAAATCGTAGAGAAGCACAGCGACAAGCATTCCCACTGGGTGAAAATTTGCTAGCATTGATTTTTGTAAGTCTAGCTGACCTGAGTCAAGATCAGAGAAACACACTCACAAGTATCATGACACATCGTGGACGAACCCTCGATCGATACAGCATTCAAGAACTACGTGACCTGTTCTTGGAAATGTTCTGCACTACCAAAACAGCAGTTGACAATCCATTGATGCAACCCTCTGGCATGGCACAGAGAAGATCTTTCCTCGTACTGGATGAAGGTGAATTAGAAGGAACCGACGGCTATTGGGCCGAAGATGAAGAAGACGGCGCAGAAGGATTCCTGGATGCTTTAGAAGATGTTTTCTGGGTTTATGATGACGCCAACTTCACATGGTATCAGAGAAGGTTCCAAGGCAAATACATCAGACGAGGCAAAGGTAAAGGAAAGAGAAAAGGAAAAGGAAAAGGCAGAGGAGGACGAAGATTCTTCAGATCAAGAAAAGGAAAAGGCCGAGGAAAAGGAAGAAAGAAAGGCCGCTCTCACATGGTGAGTGAAGAAGGTTATGAAGATGAATGGCAAGATGATGAATGGAATGAAAACTATGACGGCTATTGGGCCGATGATCAAACCTGGAATGAAGGCTATTGGGCCTATGATGATTCATACTACATGGATGAGTATGGATATTTCCAGAGGAAAGGAAAAGGAAAAGGAAAAGGAAAGAAAGGCAAGAAAGGCAAGGATGATGATGGAAAAGGAGGAAAGCCAGGAGATGGAAAAGGCAAGTCGAACTATGTTCAACCTCAGACCACATCAGCTCCTGCCATACAGAATCAACAAACTCAACAAGCTCATTATTCTTCTGCAGCTTCAAGTTCTGGTCATGGTTTCTTTTCATTTGGAACAACTGAACCAGCACGTGTTGATGTTGCAGAGACAGAGCCAGCTCGTGTTGATGTTTTGACATCCACGTATTCAGCACAAGATGAACAACGACGCACTCGTCGTGGAGGACAGAACCAACGTGATGCAAGAGCACATCAAAACAGGAGAGAGATGAAGAGATTCCCTGTTCTGATTGGAGAAGTTGGTGCACTACGACAAGGTGTACAACAACGTCCAGCTGTAGTGCCCAGGCAAGTTGGTCTTCAAGAAGGTGAGGCTTCATGGAAGCCATTGGCAGAAGGCACATCATTGTTTTCACATGGATGCTCTACAGAGATAGAGGAACCATCACAGCAGAGTGCTTTTTCATTTCATACTGTACAAACTGATCTGGCATGTGAGAATGGACTAGCTTTTCACACAGAGAATTCTGCACCACCAACTGTGTGTATTCTGGATCTTGGATGCACAAGAGCTATGGGCTCTCGACGAGCAGTTGAAGCATTTTGCAGATATGTTGACTCACATCCCAACAGTGGACTCTGGTATGAAATTCAGCCAACAAGTTCAAGATTCTTCTTTGCAAATTCACAACAATCAAAATGTACTGAGAAGCTCGTGATATTCATGTATGATCATGGATGGAACACTCAGTTTACAGAATTCGACATTGTCGAAGAAGGTGATGTCCCATTGTTGATGTCACTTCCACAGATGAGAAACCTTGGATTTCAATTTGAACTTACTCCAGAGAAGGCTTATTTGTCCTGTGCACGTATTGGCATGAGAAAAATGGTTTTGAGGACAGCCATCAGTACTCATCTCATTCTCGACCTACAAGATGTAGCATGGTACATGAGCCAAGTTCATTTCAAGACTCCACAAGTCAAAAGTTTCTATTCACAACACGATCACTTTGAGTACAGTCAGATTGCTGTCAAACAAGATGATCATGAAGGAGAAGCTTTGGTGACTGGTGACTACTGGCAGGTTGATCCACTACGTCGTGAACTCATCAGGCACCACAAGGACAAGAGAATGAACTTACATGAGATGACTCGATCAGAGAAAACTCCAATTCCAAAAGATCAACTTCTTGATGAGAGAGAAACCCACATGGAATTCCAGAAGAGCAAGAAGAAGGTTCTTCACAAGGACAACTGGCGCACTGAGAAGAAGAGGTTTTCTGAACAGAGTGAAGAGTTCTGGAAGGGCAAGACCATCTACAAGATCAAGGAGGACTACGTGATCCCAGATGACATTGTCAGAAGTGACATTGATCGTGCAAGGCCCTTTCGTGGAAACATTGATGATCTTTTTCACCC